TCCCTCCAGCGTCTCCTGGGCCTTCCACCAGGCCTCCTCCCAATGGGACATGACTCAAACAGAGGGAGGCGACCAGGAGGCATCCGAAACAGCAAACAACAATGTTTTTCCTTTAAACATTTCCCTCTCAGTACCTCTCTGTTGAAGATAACTGGGGGGAAATCAAACTTACAATTCATGACTGTGTGAAACTTCTTTTATTTGAAAATGTAAATATTTGTAGTTTTGCTGAAGATGTGATGGAGGTCTCGGCCTCTGATCTTCCTTCCTTCCTGCTTTAGAGTGAAAAAGCTTTGATTCAGAAAAGATTTGGACAGGAACCAGAGAGGCGTACAGGACAGATCTGATCTGCTCCTCAGCCTGTCGCTCTGATAACCTCCGCCCTGATAGAGGCTCTGTTCATCGCCCCGCATCCACCTCCACCGCCGACCAATCGCTCCATCTCCTCCCTCCATTATCCCATCAGCAGCTCCGGACTCATCTGATTAACTGGCTGCAGATACAGACGGGAGGAAATGTCAGACATCCTCCTCTTCCTCCTCCTCTGCCGGCAGCTCGGGTAACACAGGATGGGAGGAGGAAGAGCAAACTAATCTCAGAACCAGGCCACCGGTCTTAAAAACCGGCTCTGGTTTCACTGGTTCCTGTTGCGATTCAGAGGATTTAGAGAAGACAGGAAGGAGCTTCTCCTCTGGTCTTCATCACCTGAGCCGTCTGACTGCTGCAGCAATTATGAAGAACCTACATCTGATCTTTGCTCCATGCAAACCCGTCCAGAGGAGTCCAGAATTATTCATACCCCTGGTAGATTTAGATGAATAATGATTTTTATTCAGACAGGAAGTGAGTCTCACATTTCTACAAAGATCCAAAGGATGATTCCCTTTAAAATATACAAATCATTTTTATTTTCTTCTAAATGGTATTTCACACTGGAAAAAATCAAAGTCTAGATAGGTAATTTTTTTCTTAATATAAGTGCATTTCTTCTTGGATTGAGGAGGAAAAAGACACATTTTGCCAATGGAACAAGACAATTTACATTTAAAATAAGAAAACACAATTGCATTGTCTTATTACAAGTGCATATTATTGAACTGTCTTATTTTAAGAGTGAAATTACTCATTCCATTGGCAAACTATCTCATTTACCTACCTACCTATTAAGGGTAAATACACTTAATTTAAGACATTTTTTTCTTATGTCTAGATCGTTTTTCCAGTGAAAGACCATAGAATTCTAAATAAGTCATTTTTTTCACAAAATAAGAGCTTTTTGTCTTAAATCGAGGAGCTAAGTGAGACACTTTGCTGATGGAACAAGACAATTTACATTTAGAATAAAAGAAAACCGTTGCATCGTCTTACTTCTAGTGCATATCATCTAATTATCTTATTTTAAGAGTAAATATTCTAATTCCATTGGCAAATCATCTTATTTACCTACTCAAATTAAGGAGAAATCACTTATTTCTACTTATTTTTACTTATTTCTAGATGTTTTTTGCAATGCAACCTTTAATAATCAGTGGAAAAATAAGCCTCCAAACGATC